AAAAATCAGGTTGTCACACTTTCGTTTAGACTCTGTCGGCTAAATTTTGACTTTTTTTTTAAAGTTATATTCTTAACACGCTTAAACTGTTAAAGCACGTATAAAAGTCATAACTCTCTCATATGAATTCCATTTAGATTGTTTCTACATAGACGGAATCATGTGGACAAGATCTTCAACTCTCGTTTAGATTGTTTCTCCTAACAATCGACATATCTGTATGTCGGTTTCTATGTCGTACACTGCTGCGCTGAAACTTCTGAAAATCATAACTTCCTCTTATGAAGTCAAATTTGGTCGTTATTTATTCGCACGCTCTCGGTTCTATGATTACTACGACTTTCATCAAGACTATTTATCCTAAATAGTCTTCTATCAAAGACGTCCATTTACGTGATTGGTCGTTTATACTATAAGGCGAAAATGGGGTGTTACAAAATGTTTTGATTACTATTATGGAGGAAATACTTTCATGATTTAGGTGAAATGAAAACAAACACATAAACCATTTGTTGTTAGCTAATTTGAAGATGTATTATATAATGGCCCAGATTTTTTAACATTTAATCTAATGGAAATATCAGAGTTTTTCATACAATTGCGGAGTTCTACTAAAATAAAAACACTTTAAATCCTAGGTTTAATCACAGGTTTACGATAAAATCTACTACATATAATAAACAACAAGGAAATACACAAATAGTATCCTACTATCCATTTCTTGTCCTTATGCTCTTGTTTTCTCTTCTAGTACCACGGTTGCTGTAACAACCCAATTTTTTCAACAAATTTTTCATTTTTAATTTAGCAAAAATCTCCAAGTATCATAAAACCAAAATAATAAAATCCCAGGTGTATCAATACAGTCATCCGAAATCAAATTATCAAAATGTGGACTCATAAAAAGATCTGCAAGTCGGTCTATACAGTCATGTCTTTGACTTCCCGCGATCATCTGAAGTACCTGAAGCATATTTAATCCACAATTGAAAACATAAAACTTAGTGAATCTCTCCCAAAATATTCATAGAGCACATTTAATCCTCGTCTTCCCTCCAACTCGTAGCTCTTTTTTTTTGTACTTTTCACTTTATGTTACCTTCTTCTAGATGATGGTTGTGTTTCTGATGCCATTTCGTCATTGTCATTATCGAGGTTTATAAGTTGGGATTGTTGAAGTTGAAAAGGTTGTTGAAATTGTTAAGAAAATTGTTGAAAAGCTTGAAATTTGGGTTGATTGAATTGTTGTGGTAGTGTTTTGATGGTATGAAAGGCGGATGAATAGAGATTTTTGGATTTGGATATTAACAATTGTATCTAATGAAGATGTGCGTATAGATCATTTAAAGTGTTTGGGTGTTTGAAGTCCGCAAAATATTTTAATTTAGATTATTATTTTGGAGAAAAATTTTGAGAAAATGGAAAGATAATGTTTGTTTTTGTATTATGAAATGTGTATAAAATGATTAGCATTTATAGTTATCGGATCTATGGTTTAAATTTGAAAATTGAATAAAAAAAATTAAAACACAAACGCATGCAACAGATTTATTTGTGATTGTTTGGAAAGAAATTTACAATTCAATTCTTACAAACCCTATAAATTTGCATATTATATTCAAGTTTAATTTAGTATTGGTTTCGAATTAAACCCACAAAATTCTGCAAAAAAATGCTTGAATCGGTTTGACATGCTAACAAATGTGCTTTGCGAATTAGATATATACAACAGCAATAAAAACAAGAGATTTAAACCAATAAATCTTAATTAACGTCATTTGGAAGGTAGTGAATAAAAGAACAAGACCCATGTTGCAACAATTATAAGAAACAAGTCGTTCCATTCATTAAACCATGATCAACATCAGCATACAAACTTTTAATATAATCTTAACCAAAAAAACTACAAATTCTAACGTCATAATCTATTCAGCCTTCTTAGCTTTCTTTGGAGATTTAGCAGCTTTAGATGGAGTTGAAGGCTCCTTGGCAGCAGTCTTCTTTGGCAATAGAATTGGATTGATATTTGGGAGAACGCCACCATGAGCAATCGTAACTCCACCCAATAATTTCCCAAGCTCTTCATCGTTTCTAATGGCCAACAGAAGATGTCTTGGAATGATTCTGGTCTTCTTGTTGTCCCTGGACGCATTTCCAGCCAACTCTAGAACCTACAATCAACAAAAATCAACCAGCTTAGAAAAATAATCCATGAATTGGAATCAAGATCAAGCAGAACTTCAGAAATAAGATCTAGGCTCCGTGTTCTTTGTTTAATTCAAAGTCAAGCCAGTAAACATCGATTTACGATATCCCTAAATTATACGAAATGAATAGATGAACCCATGAAGATCAGATCCACATTGATCTTAATGCAATGAGATGAGAAAATAAAACTTACTTCAGCGGCAAGGTATTCAAGAACAGCGGCGAGGTAAACCGGAGCACCACTGCCAACACGCTGCGCATAACGTCCTTTCTTCAGAAAACGCCCAATTCTACCGACGGGAAACTGCAGTCCGGCCTTGACAGAGCGGGTAACCGCCTTCTTCCTTGGACCACCGGCCTTTCTTCCTCCGGCACCCTTCTTCGACTTTGCTGCGGCTTCCATTTTTCTTTTAGCGATGAATAAACAGTGAGAAATGAACGGATTCTTCGTTATGGATGAAGAACAGTTGTTGACATGGTTTGGTTTTGTAGAGGTGGGTGGAAGTCACTCGGGATCAAATAGCTTTGGAACAACCGTTGGATGGGGTGATTAATCAACGGTCTTGATTTGTTAGATAGCGATCCGCGTGAAATTAACCCGTTTTGAAGATTATGTGATTTCGACCACTTTTTAAAAAATTTAAAAATATCATGACTCTCCCGCTAAAAAAACTAACCATGTGTTTTCCAAATACGCCGTTATAAATAAAGGCTTTATTATTATTTTGGGTGATGTTAAAAATACATCATATAAATGGCCTTATTATTTTTTTGGGTGATGTTAAAAATACATAATATTTTTTTTTTTTGAACCGGCAATTTTTATAAAAAAGACACTCACAAGCAAGGAACTAGTGAGAGCCGAATTACAATCTAAATTACATAGAAGAGATCGGTGAATTTTTCCAGTTCTCCCATACAAAATTCCCTTTCCCATGCCTAAATTTAATCCAAGTATAGACCATGGATCTAACACTTCAACCACCAATTCCGGAGGGATAAATTTTGAGTTGAAAACTCTATCGTTTCTTGCTTTCCACATTCCCCATAAAGTTCCGAATATGATTGAATTTATTGTTCTCTTCTTTGTTTGGATTTCCCACACGTGGCTACGAAATTTAAAATCTCCTTGACATTAGACAGTTGAGGGGTATGATTTCACACCAGTTCCATATCCGATTCCAAATTGCAATTGCAAAAGGACAAGTGACCAGCATATGAACTCTTGTTTCACTTCCTTAAATACATACACTACAAGTTTCTCCTTGAATCTTAACTCCCCGCCGCATAAGAGCACTCGCTGATGGGATTCGGTTTATCCTTGCTCGCCATACAAAGCAGTTCACCTTGTTGGGAATCCATTTACTCCACCATCAAACTATATTCCACCAACGAGGCTCACATACATATCACAAGTCCCCGGTCTCGTCTCGGCCCTTTTTGAATCGAGTACGGATCCTCCGCTTTCGGTAGTACGGGCCCATACTACCTTCCACGTATATCCGTACTTTCCTCAAGAATTGCCTCAACTCAACCAAGTCCTTTCTACTAAATACTGCGGTTCTCGTGCTACTCTCGCCCTAGGCTTGCCCGAAGTAAGCGTCATTCCCACTCTCTGCCATCAGCTGCACAAGAATCCCGCTTTCTTTCTTTCCCTAACTAGCTCGCGAATACTATTACATATTACTCATACTAGATAATTCTTCGAATGAGAGGTCCTACCCTACAACGGTTGGACTCAGACAAGAGCTGCGAAGCAGGGCTAGACCCAACCTTCTGAAATTATTTAGTCCTTGCAATATGTAACGTAACATATTCGTTTACTAGTTAGTGAGAGACAACTAGAACTCCTAAAAGCACATAGCAAGCAACATTCGTGCATTGAGTACACATAATCAAGTATATACTATTCTGGCTATCATACTGACTGATCTGTACTAGCATGCAATTCTCATAAAGCTGAACACATAAAGCAGGCACATAAGGCATCATTCCTAGATCCTTAGTCCTATTCTATCATGCTGTTCTACTAAAACTGGAACTGATAATCATAACAATAACTTGTATGGGGTACTTGGGGGAAAACTTACTTGAGCTCGGCGGTCACGCACATCACACACCTTGTTCTTTATTTCTCGAAACTCTTTTACCTTAGTCTTTAGAAAAATCATTTCTTTATAAAAATCTTTTAATCCCTCGATTTGAGTCCAGACAACCCCGAAGGTGTGTCTGAATCCCTCAAACCAGGGCTCTGATACCAATTGTAACATCCCAAAAATACCAGCTAAAAATTTCATTTTTAAATTAGGTTAATACATAAAAACATCGTTACAAAACATTCATAATATTAATTCATGTCTGAAACCGGTAACATCATAGTAAAATATTCAGAGTACATCCCAGAAAATCCATAGTGCGGAAACAAGAGTGTGTGTGATATGCCGCTACCCGCGCGCGCGGCTCCTTTCCCCTAGCTGAAGAGGTACCTGAAAACAAAACTATAAACGTAAGCACGAAGCTTAGTGAGTTCCCCAACGAACCTCATACCATACAATCACATAACATACATGTCTGCCGGGCATTTCTGGGTGCCCGACCTTCCCCTTCGGTCCTGTCGACCGGATACTGCCTAGCATATCTGGGTGCTGGCCTACCCCTTCGGTCATGTCGACCGGATCGGGGACTGTTTCACCCCCCCTACTACTGCTACCACATAATAACATATCACATAACCCATACATCATAATCTGCTAGCACATAAAGCATATCAGGTAGTAACAAACCTAGATGATTATCGCACAGACAGTCATATATCATACGACTCCTACTAGTGGGCCGGCATTGTGGCCTTAGACCCACTTCTACTGGAAGGTAACTCACCTCGAGGTAGCTGCTGAAACCCGCTCAACCTACGCCTGGCTGCCGCACCGGTAACCCTCCGGCTATAAATCTGTAATCATGGATTAGGTACTCATAAATACCCCTTAGGTCAAATGACTGGTCAAAGTCAACTTCTTGGTCAAAGTCAACTCTCTGATTGACTGGACTCGCCGAGTCCATATAGCGACTCGCCGAGTCCTTCTACGTTTAGCCCGACTCTGACTCATCGGGTCCCTGTTCCCACTCACTGAGTCAGCCTGACTCGCTAAACGGGGACAACTAACAAACCCGCGACTGGACTCGCCGAGTCCAAGGGGGGACTCGCCGAGTCCGACGAACAGATCTCACAATTCGCTCCAATCTTTCATCAGAACATCAACCTTGGAGATTTGGAGATTCTGGGACTATAGCTACACGTTAAATTGCTAATTCCACGTGCGACTACGAAGGGTTGGACCTCCTACACTTAAACCCTTCTTATCCTAGTGACAGTTCATATGACTCGCCGAGTTTGAAGAACAACTCGCCGAGTACCAGGCAATCTTCATAGGACTCGCCGAGTTGTTCATCCAACTCGTCGAGTCTAAGGCCATCTTCATGGAACTCGCCGAGTGCACTTTGGCACTCGCCGAGTTCCCTTCGACTCTTCACCCAATCTGGCCAAATCTGAGACATGCAACTGATCCAACTCATGGGTCTCAGTTCCTAGGGTCTGGTTATCACATATACACACGAAATCTGGGGGTTTTAAGGCTTGAAGATCAACCATTGGGGACAAAAAGGATCCTAAGAGCTAATGAGCAAAGTGAGGTTTTTACCTGATTTGATGCCTTCCCCAGAGTAGATTTCGGATCTACCTTCACTTCTGGAACACTCCAACTTCCTCCTTCTTCTCTAAGCTCCAAAACTTCTTTGGAAGATCAAAATCACTCAAGAACACCAAAGGAGCTAGGGTTGTTTCTCTACTGCTCTCTGGGAGGAAAATGGGACGAAATGGGTGTTTTTAGAATGGGTAAAATAGGGTGCAATGTCTGAAAATAGAGTTTCATCCAGACAGGTGGACTCGCCGAGTCCATATGTCGACTCGCCGAGTTCCCAGCTTAAATCCCGTGTCCACCTCGCTGCTACTCGGCGAGTCGGGACGCAGACTCGCCGAGTTCATGGCAAAAAAATTTAAGAAAATACTTAAATAAAATCGTACCAGGAATCCGGTGTGTTACAAATCTCCCTCACTTATTTTAGACTTCGTCCTCGAAGTCTGCCGCTCCCTCCCGGAACAGCTCCGGATAATGCTCCACCATCTCATCCGCGGGCTCCCAAGTCCATTCCGAGCCCTTCCGGTGCTGCCATTGCACCTTCACCAGCTCCACCCTCTTGTTCCTCAGTTCCTTCGACTTCCGGTCTAGGATAGCCACAGGCCGCTCGATATAATTCAGGCTGTCATCAACCTGGATGTCCTCCAAAGGTACCACCGCTGAGTCGTCCACCAGGCACTTCCGCAGCTGGGAGACGTGGAAAGTGTTGTGGATCTGACTGAGTTCGGCTGGCAGATCCAGCCGGTATGCCACCTTGCCCACTCGGGCTGCAACCCTAAACGGTCCAATATACCTGGGACCCAACTTGCCCCGCTTCCTAAATCGGATGGCGCCCTTTCAAGGCGACACTTTCAGGAGAACCATATCCCCAACCTGGAACTCCAAGTCTGATCGGCGCCTATCGGCATAACTCTTCTGCCGACTCTGAGCAGTCTGAAGCCTGCTCCGGACCTGCTGAATCTTCTCTGTCGTCTTGAGCACTACTTCGGTGCTCCCCATGACTCTCTGTCCAACCTCGCCCCAACATATCGGGGTCCTGCACTTCCTCCCGTACAACATCTCGAAGGGAGGACATCAATACTCGCGTGATAGCTGTTATTGTATGAAAACTCGGCTAAAGGAAGATAGGTATCCCAGCTACCACCGAAGTCTAAAACACACGCCCGCAGCATGTCCTCCAGAGTCTGGATGGTCCGCTCGCTCTGGCCATCCGTCTGCGGGTGGAAGGTTGTACTAAAATGCAGACGAGTACCCAGCTCGTCATGAAACTTCTTCCAGAACCTGGAAGTGAACCGCACATCCCTATCCGAAATCACTGAAAACTGGCACCCCATGCCGTGCCACTACCTCTCTGATGTAGATATCGGCCAATTTCTCGGCCGAGATGCTCTCCTGAATCGGGATAAAGTGGGCGCTCTTGGTCAACCGATCGACGATGACCCATATCGAATCCACTCCCCGCGCGGTCCTGGGAAGCTTGGTGATGAAATCCATCGTGATGTCTTCCCATTTCCACAGCGGGATATCCAACGGCTGCATCTTGCTGTGCGGTCTCTGGTGTTCGGCCTTGACCTTCCTGCAGGTCAGGCACCGCTCAACGTACCATGCTACATCCCGCTTCATGCAGGGCCACCAATAGTCCAGACGAAGATCCCTATACATCTTCGTTGCCCCTGGATGAATGGAGAATCGGGATTTGTGCGCCTCCTCCATCAGAACCTGGCGCACGCCTCCGAGGTATGGAACCCACACCCTGCGG